ATTTAAAGTTTATTATTTTTCTAAGGAACATTTGTATGGTTGAACACCTGTTTCACATTGGAATACTCCCTTCACCATTCTGGGTGGTGTTGCAATAATTTTTCATCCCAGCATATTCCATAGCAATTTTCAAATATTACATTTTTGAAATGCATTAATATATGAAAACAATACAGTGGAAACTAAACGTATATTTGTACTTCACAGAGCTGGAGTGGACCAGAGAAGTTACTTGCCTTAGATGAATTGATTGATAGTTGTGAACCAACACAAGTGAAGCATATGATGCAAGTGATTGAGCCCCAATTTCAACGAGACTTCATTTCCTTGCTCCCCAAAGAGGTAAGGATTATCACTTAATGCTGGGCTCCTGGTACTGTTTGCCTATGTAATGCATCATCTGCCACCTTTAAGCATTTCCTTGCTAATTATAGTATTCATTGTTGTCAGTGTAACACTGTTAATTGGCGTTGAAGAGGACTGCAAGTTGATAAACTGCCATGACTTAATAATGTAATTTTCAGATTAATGTATGCTTGTGAGACCAGTGACTTTGTTTCAGTGACTAGGATATGTCCCCTGCTGTTTGTGACAGTTGTTTCTTATATGTAAGGGGTTTTTTTTTCCAGAGCTTTCAAGAGCTGATTTATTATCCATTGACGGTTTCACTCTTAAGGTTTTTAAAAAACGTAATAGGTATTTAGCTTTTCATTTTATCTCTACTACATTTTATGAAGGGAATAAACACCCATATAACTTCTTCAATCAAATTATATTCAGTTTTATAGGATAAGTATGCATGTAGTCCAGAATTCATTTGTATCTAGGTCCCATTGAGGTTAATTTGATAATTTGTGAGCAGCGTGAGCAGCATTATAAATATATCTGTAGTTGGTAACTAGTGCATTCAGTCATGTCTGAAGATGGATACCGGAAGGTAGTTATCAACACCCCCTTCCCGTCCTGTATCTGGCATTTTTATGACTAGGGCTAGTTTACAGTACAAAGTATAAGAACACTGTTGTGTTAATAGGCGACTCCCATGCTTGGAAAACATCTTCCATATTATGAGACCGCCCCAAAATAATATTATTGTAAGTCGGCCTGGGACTAAAAATAAAATATTTACACTTCCTTATTCTCATCATCAGTCAAAACAAACAACAAAAAGACCAGGTGAACGCTTTTGCAACTCACAACCCAGGTCAACAAATAAGATTAAGTCAACTGGAAGCAAGTTCTTAACTCAAGTGCTCTTCATTGAGAACACACAACCTAATGATGGTTTAGTGATACTCCTTTCTCTGGGTTCTTTTAGCAACTACAAAAGGTGCAATAGCAAACACTAATTCTAGTTACTGGAATGGATGAAATTAGTGTTTCTAGTAGTTTTTCTTCACTTTTAGCTCTAGCTGTACTACTATATTATTATATTGGATTGGTGATTTCCAATTATACTTTTCTCTTGGTGTAAGCTGGCCAGAGCATCTTGGTGTTTGTAATCTATGGTACATGGGATGCTTACACTTAACAAATACTTTTACGGTAAAACAATTTTGTCTATAATTTGTTACTTGTTTTCTTGAATCAGTTGATTAAAAATAAATGATATTGGTTTTAATTAAAATCCTTTCTTATAGAAGGTATTACTCTTCTACTAAAAGTGGAACACACTGAATTTGTTTCTACATGAATAATGCTGTTCATCACAGGCAATAAGGAATGTACTCTTGAAATAATCAGTAGTCAAAATAGTTTATATAAGAAGGCTTTTTTCAGAGCATTATTCAGGAATTGCTTAGTAAAATTGAAAAGGAAAGGCTATCTTTTTTAAAAAAATGCAATTTTAAGATTTCATTCAAGGAATAACTGACACAAACAGTGGTGCCTGTTTCTTTCCTAAGCTGATTGTTGAAATAACCTCTTAAAAGATCTATGGGTTATTGCCATGAAGAATAATAGCTGTAAGATTTTCACATACAAATATGCTAAGTTAATAAGTCAACTGTGCATATATGCTATCGCATTACTGATTGCCAATAATGCTCCAAGGACATCGGAACATCAGCAAGGCTTTAGGCAGCTACTGCCAAACCTTTAGCTAGTTCTTGCATTGCTCTTGATTAAAAAACAAGATTGATAATAGGAAATTTCAGCAGCATTCTGCATCACACTGAGAACTAATTTAGTCCCCACACCCACGTCTCTTGGCATGGCTTAATGATCACTGTATTTAAGAGTATGTTATTTATACTCCAGGGCAGATAGTTTTTTAAAAATGTGTGTAATAAGTTTTGCCCAATCCAACCCTTCACCCTTTGAGGTTTGTTGTTGTTTGGTTGCCTGGCACCCTACCTACACTAGCAATACATCAGCTATATCATATTTAACTCACTGGAACTTTCTAAACAAACATAGCCATGACCTGGGTTCCTGCGTATTTTGCAAATGACAAAGGTTTACTAAATTCAGCATTGGGATTCATGATTCTATTCTTCCTACAGCCTACATGGCTGTGACACTTTAAAAAAAAGTTTCCCACTTGTCACCAGGAGTTGAAAGAGATGGTGGCAACAAACCTGGTATGGTAAATATATGGTTTCCTTGGGGCTTGTTTGGTTAGTCGGAGCTGCAGCAGTAGCCTCCCAGCAAGGGTCATCACTTACTGTGAAAGGGAAGTTGGGATTGCCAGAAACCAGGTTTGGTTCTGCTGGTGCATGTGCACAGCCCTGGCATCACCACCACTTCACCCTTCCCTTTTCCAGGAAGCAGCAGCAGCAGTAGCACCACCAAGAGGTTATTGCTGTGGCCCCGACCAACTGAATGAGCCACTCCTGCTTGTACATCATGTTGCTGCATATTCAGTCCTGCTTCCTATGACATAATGGCCCATCTGTTGAGGAGGCATCATTCTAGGATGCAGTATTTTATTTCTCAGGCTTTCTGCCATTACTTGTTCCCACTTCTTCAAGCCTCAACCAATCAGAAATGTTCTTGTGTAGCTACAGTGATTGTGTTTTTAAATTGATTGCTGGTTTTATTCATTAAAATTTAATTAAACATTTAATTAAATTTTAAAATTTAAACTCTTGTGAGATGCTGTAGAAATCAGCCCCGTGATATAAAGACAGGCCAAAAAGAAAACCAGTTTGCTATATTGTTGCCCCTTTAGCAAAATGTTGCTTTAGGTGTGAAAAGTGAGTATACAGAAACAACCTTTTACAGTGTTTGAACAGAGTGATCCTCCCAAGACATCATGATCAGTTGGCATATAGATTGTTTTTTTTAAGGAGAGACTAGACAACCACCTATCAGTGATGCTATGGTAGTAGAATCCCTGTATTGGCAAGGGCTTGGACTAGATGATCTTTGATGTACTTTACAATTATATCAGGCATAGCCAAACTCGACCCTCCAAATGTTTTGAGACTTCAATTCCCATCATCCCTGACGACTGGTCCTCTTAGCTAGGGATGATGGGAGTTGTAGTCCCAAAACATCTGGAGGGCCGAGTTTGCCTGTGCCTGAATTATATGATTCTAAAAAACTCAAAAGGCTCTTTTGTCCAACAGGTTTGTTGGATTCTTAATGATCTCTCTCTTTTTACAAACACCACTGCCAAGGATGCTTTTTTTTCCTTTTTGAGAGTAGGTAGGCAGATAATTACAAAGACATGAAAAATATCACCACCTACTATCATGCTAGGCATGATGTCTTAGAGAGAGCTTGTTACACCCTCTCTTTCCTGTAGTTTTTATTAATTATTGAAGGTTACTTTAATGAATGTAATGTGACCTAAAGATATTCATACTAGTTTTCTAAATAAAGTATTAGAGTGAAAACACTTGCCTTAAATTCTCTAACAGAGTGTTTGGCTAAAATAACCTTTCAAATGGCATCGTTATGGCTGCAGCAAAGAGACCAGGTTGCCAGGGGGTGGGAGATATGTTTCTATTTTATATCATACAATTAAGGTGTGTATTGCTAATCAGAGAAAAAGGTTGAAATATCCTTTTCAGTGCAAGAGGTAACATTACATTGGTTTGGGTAGACTATACAATTAAGAATTCATTGTTGGCCATTTGTTCTGTATTTTAAAAAGTTTTAGATTTTAAAGTTTTATGATACATCTGTGATTTTGCTGTGCACCACCTTGTTAAATAAAATTAGGGATACTGAGGAAGTGCTGCCATCCCTGTGAGACGAAAGAGCCAGATGTGTGGCAGGCGTTGAGAGAGAGGGGGATATGATCGTTCTCTCCTGCTAGTTTGATTTGCCTGGTTGGTTACACCATTCGACCACTCTTAATACACGACGGGAGCAGCAGCTGATTTCTTGATTCCCCCACAAAGCTGACTGGAGACTTGAGAATAAACCGCAGGGTTATACAACTGGTTTTTCTTCTGCATGGCTTTGTACACCATTTTATCCAGACAAGAAATCTACAGGCTTGTCCTTCTCAATCCAAGAAAAGCTCCAGAGGCTATGTGCTGCTTGTGGCTTGGCATGGATACTGATGTCTGAGCAAACATTTGTTTGCGCAGAAGTGCCAAACATAAAATGCTAATGTGGTTCTGTGCACAAGGGACTCTTAAACAAGGAACAGGCTTTCTGATCACATGCTATATGACTGGAAAGGAGTTGAGAAGAATCACTAAGAGTTCTTTCCCAGCATGACTGGCATCCCCTCATGCTTATTAAATCCACTGCATTTTGCGTAGCTTTTTGTGGCAGAATTCCACCCCACCCCCCCGGTTTTGTTTGATGGTTTCCATTTTTTAAGTACAATGTAATACAGTATATGTGAATATTTAGGACCCACCTTATTCCTGTAATATAAACTGTTTTAAACAATTTTTAATGGGTAATAAACTGTAATAGTAATATTGTATATTTCCTTAAAATCCTCATAATCTCATAGAAGCACAACAGTGGTTTTCATAGAATCATAATTGGAAGGATCATCTAGTCTAGCCTCCTGCAATGCAGGAATATGCAGCTGTCCCTTACGGGGATTGAACCTGCAACTTGGGCGTTGTCAGCACCACGCTCTAACTAACTGAGCTATCAGTTTGTGAAACATAATAGTTTTTTACATTGTTTCTTTCTATGGGTACTGTTTCTGTTGTAGCTACTTACCTTATACATACGTTGAAATCTTGACTTGCCTGCGGTTTCTTTGTGCTGGTTCTATTTTCTGTTTTTCTCCCCCTGCTCCCAGCTTACCTTGTAATTAGCTCGGTGTCATTTCTGAGCTCAGGGTACTTTCCTCTTTGCATTTTATGCAAAGTAAGTGCCATTGTGTTCAGTGGGATCTACTTCTGGATAAGTAAGTGTACTTATGAGGGCAGCCTGAGAGAGCTTTGGAAGTTTAAGCCTAGGAGAAATCAGTCGCCAACACTCTTTTCCTAAGCAATTTTTTTATTATGAAAAGCAGGCAACAAGTAGCTGGCAGCAGCAGAGGTCTTATACACTTCTTTCTTAAGGCTTGCGTGTTCATAAGTATGCTCAGAAGTGTCCTTTACAAGCCCTCCAGATCACAGTGGCAGCTTTTAATTGTCTTTTGGCCAAGGAGACCTTGGACACTAGAATCTCCATGCATCTGACTGCTGATGGATGCTTCCTGAGCATGCTCAGTCTCATCCAAAATTTGAGAATCTTTGGGTCTGTATGTAACCGGCCCAGGTAAAATTTCAAAACTTGATTTCTGACCCATCTACACTCCTTCTGAAATGATTGCCCCCTAGTCTTAGTTTTTTGAGCAGTCTTTCAAAAAAAAAAAAATCACATAGGAGTACCATTTATTTTATGAATTGTTACACTTCTTTCATGAAAAATGCAGTGAAATAAGATAGAAAACCAGTAATTTAAATTATTTATCATTTCTTAGCTAGAGAAGAATTGCTGTTTGCACCCCGTGGTTGTTGGGTTTTTGAGTTTGTTTTTGCTGTGACATTTTTCTTTTATACTCTGGTTTCTCTTTAGATTGTATAAATCTTTTGCCTCTTTTGACATTTTCTCTCTCTTTTACAATTGTCTAGCTCCTCAGTTGTTGATTTTAGTTATCAAACAAATGTTTAGGTATATAAAGCCCTTTATTCCTAAGATAAAGAGTCTGTTTAAAATCCCTCCATGGGAAGAGTGGCTGTCATGTGTTTACAAAGGAAGCCTTGATTTTATCAACTACAGGAGGAGCAGATGCACCATGTGACTATGCCTATAAGAAGCCTCAGGGCACACAAAGGCATTAGATTTAAACTGCGGGGAAATATTAGGCCATTTGAGGAACAGTATCAGCTACTGCAATGGTTCTGATATCCTAAAGGCTGGGGTTGTATGACTACTTTTAACAACCACCATGTTATTGCCCCCCGCCTAAGACCTTTAAACATCATTTAATCTTTCCCTTTTATTGTGTCCCTTTCCACTTCCCATTTTTTCCTAACATGCATTAGATTATGAATCTCTTGTACAGCACTCATAAATTGAGACTTGTGAAATAATTGTGTGGTTTTTATATCACGCTCCTACCTTTTTTATTACTCCTATCCATCCCAAACTTCGGTTGTCAAACGTAATCTGTTCCGGAAGGCCGTTCGGCTTCCGAAATGTTCGACAACAGAGGCATTACTTCTGTTTGGCTGCAGGAGTTTCCTGTGCTCAAGCGGAAGCCGTGTCGGACATTCGGCTTCTGAAAAACATTTGAAAACCGGAACACTTCTGTGTTTTCGGCATTCAGGAGCCAAAACGTTCCAAAATAGAGCTGTTTAGGAACCAAGGTTTGACTGTACACCATTCTTTGATATCAAACGTTACTTTTAAACTGCAGTATGAAAAACTGCTCAAAAACAATGCACTCTCATTTTTAAATTGGCCTCCACTGAAGCAAAAGAAAACACAGTGTTGCCATGATGAACATTTCCAAAGAAATGCTGTGAAAGAGGATGCTAGCCAATTAACAGATTTGGGGGGGGGGCGGGGGAGAGACAATGGGAAAGTGGCCATTCTACTATGTAATGATCACCACTCTGTCTTGCCTTTTTATGTATGTATCCAGTTTGTACTGTCTGTATTCAAGCTACCTTAATTTCCTTAATTTATAAAATAATTAAGATTAACAATATAATATTATTGGATTTGAAACTGATTTTATGTATCTAATTGCCGTTTGTTTAACAAAATTTCTATACCATTTGATTCTAAGCAGTTTACAAGAAATATTAAAATTATTGATTAAAACAGCTAAAAACAATTCAAAACATTTAAAAAGAATTAAAATAAACAGTAAAAGATTAAAATATTCCAACTTCTATATGTCTGGATAGACTTGCCTAAACAAATATGCTTTAAGCAGGCACTGTAGAAAGAGTACAAGAGAGGTGTCTGCTTGATGTCAGCCAGGAACAAGGTTGTCATTATGATGTCTCTGCCCTGGGCTCCCCTCTGCCCAACAACTTCAGAACAATCCTTGCTGTAGGGCATGCAGCAGAAAACAAGAAAGGGTTGCCGTATCCTCCACCCACCCCCATATTCAGCTGAGAGCCCTCTCAAGCAGCTGCCTTCTTCATATACCAGCAGGCAGCAAAACAAATGCAGCAGCAATGGGAGATTCCCACATTCCACCCCCCCATCTCCACATTTTCAGAGTTTCTCAGGCAGCTACCTGCTGACTGTTCCTTGTGGCCAGTAGGCAGCAAAACAAGTGAAAGGTGATTCTCTCATTTCTTCCTCCACCTCAGCACACACATTTTTCTAAGTCTTAGCAAAGGGGATTGCAGGAGACATTCGAGAGGGGGAAGTGCTTAACCCCTTTCCACCACTGTGGAGCTGTAGAGGATGTGCAGTTAAACACTTCCTCCCAAATCAGACTACCACCCCTCAATCCGGTAGGCTGCTTGAAACTTGAAAATCCATGGGAAATCCATGTTAGACTGCTGAAGTAGGGACAGTCTTTCCATTTTCTTGAAGTCTTCTAATTTATCCTGCTCTTTTTTCCTGTAACTGGACCATGTACCTTTGATCACTTGCTTCATATATCCAGCTACAGAGAATACTGGTACACCTTGTCACACAGGTTAAACAAGTATTATGCAGTTACTGTTTTGCTTGCCTTTTTCGGAAAACTTTATTTTCCAAAGCCATTGCGTTAAACTAAATTATCAATTCACGTGGTATTTATGACCCCACTAGTATGTCTTAATAGATCATCTTTCTGTCTTGGCTTCTCTGATTTTAGCAGTCTGTTCTACTAATGCATCCACTGTGCTTATGATAATCTTTGGCTATATGAAAATACAAGACACGGTACATTCCCTGAAGTACAGCAACCAGAATGAGTTTAATCTCTGCTTCTTCTTTTCTTCTTCTTTTCAGTTGGCTCTGTATGTGCTTTCATTCCTGGAACCCAAGGACCTGCTGCAGGCAGCACAGACATGTCGATACTGGAGAATTCTGGCAGAAGACAATCTTCTGTGGAGAGAGAAGTGCAGAGAGGAGGGTAAATGTCATTAAACTATTAATTCAATCATTAAAGTTGTTTTTTTTTTAATAAGATTTTTCAACGTCCTTTATGGAAAAACAATTCAACATGTTTTGTACATTGTGCTTGGTCTATGTGGTACGTGTATCTTCACCAGCAATAAAAATCCATATATGTGTCAGTTGCAGGCTAAATTAACTATACTTTGCATAAATTAATTAACTGTAAAGGTTAGGAAGCAGAATTGTTTTAAATCCAATAGAAATAGTGGGTTCAAAAAACTCAGAAGGTGAAGCCTATCAAGTGCAAGCAAAACTTCTATTTGGCAGTTTTTTGTGTTCTTAGCCAATAATCCCTTGAAGGAAAGCAAGAAGTGGTTATTTTAGTGGTTTCTTATCAATTGCACAATCTGGTTAGGTAAGAATTTTCAAAGGTGCCTAAACAAATCAGAAAGCCAGTGTTAATTAAATTCACTGCCTTTCTACCATATACTTTTGTGAAACTACTTCAAGGCAACTTACAAAAATAAGCTCTTGCTTGTTGTTGTTTTTCCCTGGAGAAAATATAAGTTTAAGAAAGACTCTCCAGATGTGAAACCTGGCTGTTGTGTTAAAGGCTGACCAAGTGGATGAAATTGGAGCAGCTTTCTCTGTACATAAAAAAAAGGATGTTGGTACTTATTGCTAGGATTGTGAGATCAAATGGCTAGAGAACAAACAGACTCCAAGAGGTGGATGTTTATCCACATGTTCCAGCAACCAGAGTTTCAAGCTAGTAATGAGATGCACCAGAGGGTAAAGATAGAGAGGATAACACAGAACCTAAGACTATCTTTGTAATATGAATGAATGAAAGAGATCACAGAATCATTGAGCTGGGATATACAAAACCTTTGGCAGAAACAGTGCTTTTAAGCACTTAAGAGACTTTTGAAAAAATAATTAGTGTCAGTGGCATAAAATTCTGAATCCAGGTGCCCAAAGGAAATAATTAAATAAGTAGTATGAGATGCTACACTAAATCTGGGTTAGTTTAGCAGACATAAGCAGCAAGAAACAGTCTGCTGATCTCAAGAAAACAAATCTTAGAACTATGGAAGACTTGAAAATGAAACCAATATATGATTGATAATCTTTGAATAAAATGGAGTTTTGAGATGTAACAGCTGATATTTAAGAAGAGAGGATGGGATTGAATTGGTGAGGATATGTGGATAGATACTCCAGTATAGGCTTTTTAGATAGATACTTAAAAGGGCAATGAATATTGGTGAAAGCACCTTCTGCCAACCTGGTGCCCAGCAGATATTTTGGACATCCTGTTAGCCCTGCCCATTGTCCATACTGGCTGAGGCTGATGGGAGTTACAGCTTAAAACATCTGGAGGGCACCAGGCTGGGAAAGGCTGGATTAAAGTACAGAACAGATTTGGAGAGTGTTATCAGCTGGGATGTAATGTTAGCGTATAGCAAAGTTGCTAATATTTTCATTCACTTGGAAGGAAGGGTGTGAGAGAAAGGAAACTGACATTTGTTGCCTGTTTCTGATTTTTGGTTTTAATATAGGAATTGATGAACCATTACATATCAAG